GTAGCGTGTTTTTTTGAGAAGGAACTACTTCAGATAAAATAACAATTTTCTTGATTGAATCAGCCCAATATATATATATATATATATATATATATATATATATATATATATATTGTTCAGTATTGAATTTCTACCTTTATGATTTATCTTTGAAATATTTATTTTTTTTAATAATGACAATAATAAAATATGTTCTCATATATTTAATGATAATTGTATACTTTATTCTTTTCTTATTTATTGATTCATTTCTATTATTGCCATTAAAGCAATAATAAGTCAAAGTGGTACATTTGATAAGAAACTGTTCTCACCGACATCCAGTATAAAAATAATATATGGTTGTTTCTTGTCATAGTAGAGGGCTTAGTTGTCCCAGTGATCCCAAGTGTGAAGCCCTCTTGAGTTCCACCTCATGTAGGGCTACCCATTTAGTCCTTACTTCTCGTTTTCCTTTACTACCTCCTGTAGGGATTCCTTCATTTTTCTTTCTATATCTTTTATCATCGCGACACAGAAGTTACTATGTTTCGAAACTTGATTCAAGTCATAAAGTTTAATTTCAATATTAAACTTAAAATTTAGAGTACAGTTTCATTCTCAAGCAATGTTTAGAATAACTAACTGAAGAAACGTTTACTTATTCATAGGTTGGAATGGAGGTGTAATCTGTTTTTTTTTCCTTTTGCTATTAAGGGGTCGCTACTGTGATGCAGCCAGACAAAAATCCCCCAACCCAACCTTTCCTTACTTCTTGTTTTTCTTTACTACCTCCTGTAGGGATTCCTTCATTTTTCTTTCTATGTCTTTTATCAAGACTGTGTCATTTGCATATCTAATGTTAAGATTGTGGCTACTAGTAATAAATCCTGGTGTGACTTCTAATTCTCTTGTGGCTAGCTAGTCCCTGTTGAAGATGCCTGCTCAGGTATATTTGTATTTGATCAACACCCACAAAGCCCACCTATGTTTTATACTGCAACTATGCTGAGCAAAACTTAGTTACAGCTTCTGGGAGAGAAAGTGCAGCATCTAGCATGGTCAACAGTCTGAACAAGGCCTGCATGCTTATAACATTAGTCATGATGACTTGTGATTTCATGCTAGTATAATCATTGATGGCCACCAAAGAGTTCAATTTATCCAATTTCACTCACAAGTTTTATGGTTTTTAGGCACATTTCAAATGTGCCACACACTGAGATTACAACCTCCTGACCAATTGACCATGGTGAGATTATATATATATACACTCAACTCTCCCGTTGAATTCGATGTATAAGGGTCAAGCAGATCAGTTCCTAGGAAACTGACAGCCCAACAACAGCACATGAGAATTGATTATAATGGTGAAGGTTTTGTGCAGGACCATCCATACTTTTTGAAGGGCCGAATACAGAGACCTGGTGCACTACGTCCCTCAAATGGCCCTCCGCAAGTTTTGAATTCAGAGTTGTCCTCTCCGATTCCTCAGTCCAAATTGCCCGACATTACTCCACCATGCTCCTTATATTTATATATGTATATATATATATATATATATATATATATATAAGAAATGGACAAGGTCCGACAATTTATTTAAAAAGACATTTTTTATGTTTAACGTTTGTTATTTTATAGATACAAGTATTTAAGCAAATATAATACTGTTTATCATAAACAGAGCATTTGCTTAAATACTTGTATCTATAAATAACATGTTAAATATAAAATGTTTTAATATATATATATATATATATATAATAAATTAAAATAAAAACATGTTAAAAATTACTACACAACTGAGGAAACACATTTGTGGTGTTGAAACATGATTGTAATTCTGTAGTAATTTTTAACGTTTTTGTTTTAATATCCTAAAATAAATAATATTTAGCTCTACTCTGTATTGAGCCCTCTTTTAAATTAAATGTTATGTACAGTGGAATTATATTCCATTTGTTCTCATTTTACCTTTCTTTTGTATATATGTTTGTGTTTCAGGATATATCTATCTATCTATCTATCGACATATATATATATATATATATATATATATATATATACACACACACACACACATATATATATATATATAATCAGAATGAGTGGATATGTACACACAAACACATATACACACATACATATATATATATAAATTATTAATCGATTAAATGAAATATATATACTTTCTTTTCATCCCACTTCATATGAACATAAAAGAAACTTTTTAGTATGTATATAATGGGACATAATTTTACATATCTATACATTAGCATGTTTATTGACAGAGTAAGTACATAAAAATTTTCATTTCTTTCAACCGTGTGTCAATGGCTTAGGGGTAAACTCTCTGATTGTTCCCGAATCAGTTGGGTTTTGATCCTGGCTTGAAGCAATTGGATGTCTAGCCATAATGATGAGCTGTGATACAGCAAAACAGTCTGTCTGTGGATGACAACATATTTATATATATATATATATATATATATATATATAAATTCATGAATCATTCATACAAAAAACAAATATAGAGGTTAATGATTTAAATAGCGAGAATACATCTTTGCAAACAATATAAATAAGATACATCAACCCCTACCTGTATATGAATGATATGATCCCTGTTCATAAATTTCAGTTGCATAAGGTCTTTTAATTTTTACAAGCTTTCGTCTGTTCCTACAGACATCCTCAGGTATGGAAATAGATTTTGTTCTTGTTTTTACTTCTTGGTAATAAGAGGACAACAAAAATAGAGATGTAATCCGAAAAAATGCTATGAGAAATGTGTTATTGTTTTGGAATGTGCAGTTGCAATGCTGAGTTTGAATTTAAAGTTTAAGGTTATGCGTTTTTGTACAAAAGAAAATTCTTTTTTACTGGTAGATTTTCCGTCTATGTGGCATGAACTATATTGTTCAATAATTACAGTAATGTCACACTTATTATCCGAAATATATATATATATCTTGCCAAACCCTACTATAGATGCCTATTCAACCTACAAAAATCCACCTGTGGTTTATATGACACTGAGCAGACTTTAATTACAGTTTCTGGGAATGAGTACATAATCTGGTATGATGAATATTTTGAACAAAGCCAGTACACTCAAATCCTTAGTCACAATGATCTGTGGGTTAACCTGTTGTAGTGAAACTATCACAGAGGGCAAAAGAGGCCTAGGATTGCACACATTTTTTGCAACAGTCAATTTAATGTTAGACAAAATGGTTTACCTCCAGGGTGAAAATAGATTCAAACATGTCTCTCATGTAAACTGTCCCCAAAGGAAAAAAATTGCAGCTTCATGGGTCACACATTTAAAACAGATAGATTGCGGAGTCGAATAATCTCTTGTGAGAATTTCTTTTCACATATGTAAATTTTGTATATTAATGAGGATATGAAAAAAGGCATAATGAGGTGACAGGCAGAATGGTTACTGCTGTGTGGAACAGGAGACAGGGGTTAGGTTCAATGGAGTGTTTAACTGAAGGAAACGGATTGTCAGAATTAATTACAAGCCAAAAGAAACTACAAATTTACAAAGTTTTTACTACATGTGTGCTGTGGTTTTTATGTACTCTTCAAAAGGTATGACATGTTAATAACAAGAAGTCAACTCTGACAAATTGACCATAATGAGATTTGAACCAGGTCTCCTCATCAGAGTGCAAACATTGTAACCACACACACACACACACACACATATATATATATATATATATATATATATATATATATATATATATATATATATATATATATATATAATAATGCCTTGAGATATGAGTTTAATTTGTTCCAAGATGTTCCTCGTAACTCAAAAGACTCGTATCTCAAATTAATTTTCCATATTGAAATTAACTGGAATATTTCCATCCATTCTAAGACCTTAAAACTCATCCCTATTTTTCTATTTGTGGGTTTCTTACAAGAAAAAAACGTGTATAAACAAGAAATGTAGTTTACAAGCAGTAAAATAAAAGAGAAAAAACAAATTGTAAAGAAATAAATTGTATTAAACCATGAAGTTCAGGCAAGTCATAGGCCAACTGATGGCGAAGAGAGAGAGAGAGATGAACAACAACAGTTAGCCTAGCAATCTCAAACCTAGCCTAGCAATGAAGTTTAAATTCATCACTTAATTTTTAAATTTATTAAAACATTTTTTTTTAAGCATTTCACCCCAAGCAAGGCGGGAGTGCCACTAGCACACAAGGGGTTACAGAGAGTGGGAGCAAGAGTAAAGAGGAATGATGGAGGAAAGGATGAAGAGAAAGACAGGGAATAGATTAAGGCATCTAGAGATGTCGATTGACATTACATTCAAATAGCTGGAAATTATAGCTATCAGGAAAACAAGTAATAGGAAGGGAAGTTATTGGAGTAGAAGAGACGGCTACATTTAACCGTTTTGACAGTGACAGGGTGGGACCAAGATGCCAGCCTAGTTGCACGTTTAACTTCATGTAGTCTGGAACTAGCGAAAGTAACTCGTCTGAGCTGTTACTGTGAAAGTATTTGTAGAAAAGACAGAGGGAAGCGATGACACGTCTTTGAGAGAGCAACTGTAGATGAGATGCCAGATCAGGGCCAATCATATTCCATATCCATCTCTGGATTTTGTCTTCATCGAGGATCTTAAGATGAACAGCAGGGGCTCCAGTCCATATATGGCAGCAGTATTCCATGTAAGGGTGAATGGTTGATTTATAGATTTTACATTTTATTCATTACTGTAACTAATTTTTTAAAAATTTTTATAATTTTTTATTTATCGTTGATGTAAAACACTTGTACTTTCTTGTCAAATCCATTACTCATACATCTTCATGTTTTTTTTTATAATTTCCCACTTTACCTCAAACAAAATCATATGTTTTGGCTTTTCCCCACTGCTCTTTACACTTACTTTCTTCAAACCCATAGTGTCACTAAAGGAATTTTGTAAAATAACAGCAAAAAGACATAGCACAACACAACTGACATCCTTCCAGAGTGAGGTGAACATGTGTACTGTGAGTAGAAATACTCTCAAAGCTTGGTTCTCACTGCCCCAACTAGCAAATGCTTAACAGAAACTCATTCATATCTCAAAATTCAGCTCATATCTCAAGGCAAAAAAAAAACAGCTGAACTCTGGCTCGTATCTCAAAAAACTTGTATGTCAGTACGATCATATCTCAAGTCATTACTGTATATGACAAGCTATTTTGTGTATACCAATGTGGTGCTTATATATGTGTATGTAAACTGATACAGTAATGCATTTGTGATTTCTTTTGTAAATACATTTAAATATACCAGTACATTTAATGATACATCTACCTGGGCACATCAGTATTTATTTATTTCAGATTTTTTTGCTTTTCCTTTTTGAATTCTTATTTCTACATTTTGGCAGCTTGTCCACCAAGAATGGTGTACATCCATGAAATTCTACTGTGAACATCGAAATGCTCTGATCAGATCATGGCAACGCTGCCGAGCGGAACTGCTGTACAAGGAACAACTCATACTGACTGAAGCCTGTTGTATTTATGAACAAGAAGAACTGCAAATGGAGAATAAGCAGAAACAAAAGAATATCTGTGATCAGCTGTATGAAAAGGTAAGAAGAATTATTTTGGGTAAAATGTTGATTCATTGAAATGGAAACTGTTTCTCCAGATTCTTCTTCTTTTATAAGACATGTTGCTCTACTATTTTCTATCCTTTATAACTCTAAGCTTACAGCTATATCACATTGAAACAATGGTTCCCAATTGATCACCAAACTTAAGCAACATTGAACCTGGTCAGTACCAAGATGGGTAACCATTTGGGAATATCAAGTGCTGTATGCTTGAATGTATGGGTGGTGTAATTGATAATGAATTGTTAATCAGAGAACTAAGTTCCAATTCCAATTGAGTTCACTATATTCACATGCACAAATATCCTTGGGAAAGGCATGAATCTACCTCTTCTCCCCTCAGCTATGGATTAATTAAGTAAGGTGCATATCATTAAATCTTCAGAAAAAAACAAATTCTTACAATCTAAATATATTTTCTAGCTTTAAATAAACTGCAAAGGGTTGATAGGTTGTAGAAAATGAATGATCAATCAAAGCCAGAGGTTTTCAACATTATTTAAGGGTTTCAGAGTGTGGAGAGGAAAAATTTTGTTATTTATTTACAGAATTTAGAGACCATCATGAGTGTAAAAACAACTCGTCTATAAAAAATAATCCATGTATGAATATGGAAAAGAATGAAGATTTTCAATAATATATTCGTATTATTTGGAATACAATTTTTGAGTCAGACACTCTTGGAAAAGGGGGGGGTGAGGAATGACATTCTGACATATATTGGAAAGTGTGCATTGGCTTTCCTAATGCACACTTTCAAGAAGGTTGAGAAACATCTGTAATGCAATGTTTGTGCTTTTAATATCCATTCTAGTCTCTGTTCTGCCATCCATTTACACAAGCTTGTTATTCACTGTTTCCCTCTGTTTCTGTTGACTTCGATATGTCCTGTGAGTCTCAAATTCTCCAAGCCCACTTTCCTCATTATATGCTCCAGAAATTCCATCTATCTCTTTATAATTCTGAGTGTAGGTGTCTTTTTTGTTTTCATTTTTTTAACTAGTATCACTCTATGCAAGGCATTAAAGTCACTAAGACACAAGGATATGAAAGGATTACAAACAAAAACGTTAATAATGAATGAGAAAAGGAAAGAGTAATCAGGAGGACAGTAGATAGTGATTGACATAGCATTTTAATTTCTTCATATTGAAATTGGCTGGAAAGCATGGAGCCAGAAGGGAGTTCACAAGTGAGAAGTGTGAGAAAAGAAACTGTTAGCATCAACTTAAAGTTTCCTTAAAACTCATTGCTGTCTGTGTTATTCTCAGCATCCTTCTGTGGGACTACATTTCTGTTGCCTCAAGTCTCCTCTTCATTTATGAGAGAATTTCTCCAGTATTCAGTACCATATTGGTAGACTGATATTGCATAGCCATTCAGCACTTAAAGTAAATTGGATTTGTTGCAGCTGATGTCCAATTCATCTGTCAATCATCATAGATATTGTATGCATCAACTTGGCACAAGGCTAAAACTATGAAATACTCACTGAGCAATGCAAATAACTTTCTTTTTAATCAATTCATCCCAAACAAGGTGATAATGCTACTAAGATGCAAGGGGCTATTAGGAGTTATAGAGAATTAAAAGACTTTAGAAGGAACTGGAAACCCAATCCTACACAAATCTATTCAACCAAACATTGCAGCATCCTGGGTATGATAATAAACTACATCCAGCAGCAAGACTTCTGATCAGGAGATTGGAGGTTTTATAGGAACATAGAACCACCACTTAATTGCTGTTGTTCTCAGATCCACCATGACCCAGGGTGATAGCACCTGTTAGGGTCTCAGTTATAGGCAAACTGGGGTCTGAACACTATGAAAATATAAAAATAGAGTTTTATAGTAAAAATACCAGCAATATATTTATGAAAAAAATTACCAACAATGCATTTGACTCTTGATAAAAACCCTCTTTAAAAATGACATCAATAAAATGTGATCTACAAACTGATTCCTTACAGCAAATAAATATTCTATTCATACAACCTATCCTAAAATCTTGTCAGCATTAAATAACCTATTGAGGTTGATATGCTGTAAAACAAAATAAACCAAACCAAACATTGCAGTCCTAAAGGAACTATTTATGTTTGACTGAAACAGCAGAAAGCCAAATTCATGGAACAGAAATGACAAACTTACTATAAATGACTTGCAAGACTGACATGCAATGCAGTTGTTACTTATGAACAAAGCTGTATTTTTATATTTGTAGATTTGTCATTGTAGAATGAACTTAAAATTATTGACTTGCAAGCCTGACATGCTAACAACTGCCTGATAGATTAATTGCATGTGTCAGGTATTTACTAGGATGTATCTATTTCTGTATGGCTCACAGTGTAGAATGAAATCGATATAGGTATGTAAGTATCTGTCAGTTTTGGGATTTTGTGGAGAGTCTATTAAGCTAATATATTTTACAGACCCCTGCTTAGACAGATTTATGTTTTTCGACATCACTTGTGGTATGATACTTCAACTAGGTATCCCAAACTAAAATTTTATTTTCAATATATCTCAAACTTTTTAATACAGACATCAGAGCTTTCAAAATATAAAAAAAAATGCAACCAAATTTATCTTGGTAGCTAAATGAGTAACCAAGTTATGACCATTTAAGTGTGGTTTTGTGTGTTACTGGGCCAGAAAACAAATTTAGCAGTATATAACTGAATATGCAGTCTTCAAACAAGTGAAAAATCCTTATAAATGTAATATCATATAGGTAGTCTTTAAGTAGTAGAAATATACTAATGGAATCAATAATAATTAAATCAGACCAGCCTAAACATTGGGGAAAATTGCATTCTCAAAAACAAAATAGTTAAAACATGGTTCAGAAAGGCAATTTTGGCTGATCATATAAGTTTCATTTCAATAATTAATGCATTGCAACTTCTTGCTATGATTCATAGCATAACAGAGATGAAGTTAATTTTTTTCCATAGAACTCATATTGGCAAACATGGATACATATATCTGTAATAAGAAATAGTGTCAAAGGAGCATTTTTTTCATTTCATCACTTTTTGGCAATGTTTATTGTTTTAAAAAGTGAGTATTAGAATTTTAATAAAACCTAAACATATGATGAAAGTGAATCTATACATTTTTTTGTTCTTGGTAATTTACAACAAAAATATTAAACAATATTTATTTATTAGATTATTTACAAAAACAATTTTAAATTTACTACATTCAAAATTTGCTCAATATAAAAGTTAGTGTAATAGTATACTGTAATCCTTTGTTTTTGGTGCTTGTGGTAAAAGGTCATTTGAAGTGGTTCTTCATCACAAATGTCAGATTCATTGAGTACCTTTACTTCTTTTTTTTATTTGTTAAACAGGTGAAGATGAAGTTCCATTAAAAGTTATACCACTGTAATGTCTATTATTCCTTTCATCAGACAGTTTTTTATCAGTATATATTGCAAAGAATTTGAGGTCTTCTTTGAATTTCTCCATCTTCAAAGAAAATTAATAGGCACATAGACAGATGATTAAATGTAAATTTTATTAAAAACCTGGGTTGGGTCCCTGATGTGGAAATTTTGTTTTGTTTAATGACATATCAACTCCTCATGGGTGATTTAATGCTAAAATTTAATTTTCTTGGGATCTTTGATTTAATAAATATACAATATATTTTGTTGGAACTAGAACTGTGATGGATGAAAAAATTGTTCAGTTCGAAATTCCGACATATATTACCTGAAAAAAGCTGGAGTGTACAACAGCTGAAACACTGTGAATATGACAATAAAGATGAGGACAACAGTCCAAACAATATAAATAGTGTAAATAGTTACAATACCTCATCTTGGAAACATAGATAGATAGAGATTACTTCTTGTTGTAGGCAGAATAGCAACTGAACTTTTATCTGGTGAGTGACTGTATTAGAATTGTTGTTGTTAATGTTGTTGACTTCCTTGTAGAGTATGGCTCCACAACCTCTACATGCTAGGTGTTCTTGTTTCTGTAGCAATTAGGTTTTTATGAACTGGCCCAACCAGTTTTGAATTCAGAATTGTCTTTCTTATAGACTGGTTGCCAATCAAAGCTAAATTGCCCAGCCCTTTCTGTTATAAACCTCCAACTTGTAGGAAGAAGAAATGGATTCATATATTTTTAAATTTCAATTTTATTAGAAGCAGATGACAAAAACGCATTCTTCTATTTTCTTTTGAAGTGCCAGATCTCTATGGTTGGTTGATATTTTATTTGCTTAATATAATTTCACCATTATTTGCTTTTATCATTCTTTCTAAGAAAATACTTAGTAAGATATAAAATTGCTGTCTATTACAAGAGAAGAACTTTATTGACTGGATTAGTATTTTAATAAAAAAATTAGTTTTTAAAAAAATAAAGGGTAATCTTTATTTTTTAAAGACTCCCTTAACTGCTGCTTTTCAAAGCTCTGCTAAATGTTATGTCACTTACTAGTTATGCAGTTCATATCATAATTATTTTCAAATGTTAAATATCACTAAACATAATTATTATAAGACTGGTATGCCAAAATGGTGGCTAGATAAAGCATATGCAATACCATAGAAATAGTTCTGTAAGTAGCAGTTAATAGATCTGGAGTTATCTCCCGTGTATATACAGTTATTAAAAATTACTCAAAAACTGGTGACCTGATTGGGCTAGAAATTGTTTTATTCTCCAATAATTTTATGCTAATAAAAATTGTGCTATGATGTACCATAGTTGCTCTTCTATGGCTAAAACACACAAATATATAGAAACTGGATCACTATAATATAGACATAAAAAATCACATCACTTAAAGACTTGTAACAGCAGCAATGACAAAAAAAGCAAGCTGGTTTTCTCCTTTATTGCCAAAAGAAAATAATATAATAATGATGTTGACTTTCCACACTACCTTAAACAAAAAACTTGGTAGGAAATTCCAACCAGTACGAGAAAGAATGATAACAGCTAAATTAAAAGTCTAATCTCTTAAAAAATGTTTTAAGAAAAAGATTTTATAAATTTCAACTGAAAGTAATGCTAGCTGCTTGTTCAGTGAATGCTGAATGTTTCTTGTAAGGAAATAATTAATTTATTATAATTACCATTACCATTCCAATTCACTGGTAATAAATAATGAAATGCAAATTTTCACATTCATATTTAATATGAGATTCACACCAGGAAATACCAGATGATCTGAATTGAATATAATGTCAATTAGGAAGCTTTATTCTAAGAGGAGTTGATCTGAGATGACTCCAATTTTGTACTGAGTAAACATATAGATGTCTAAGTACAAATAGTTAGACCTGTAGTATGTGATTCACTGTCAGGAAATACTAGATTGTTTGAATTGAATTTAATATCAATAAAGAACCTTTCTTCTAAGAGGGGGTTGATCTCAGATGAACCCATTTTTGTAGTGGGTAAACTATAGATGTCCAAGTACAAACAACCATTAGAATGGTTAAGCATGTAGTATGTGATTCACTGCCAGGAAATGCCAGATTGTATGAATTGAACTTAATGTCAATAAAGAGCCTTTGTGCTCAGAGGATTTGATCTGTGATGACTAAATTTTGCATTGTATTGTATAAACATATAAACACCAGATATAAACAACTATTAGACTGTTTAGGCTTGTAGCATGTGATTTACTTCCAGGAAATAACAGATAATATGAACTGAACTTAATACCAATGTTCTAAGAGAATTTGTAATTATACATTTAGATTTAAAATTGGATTAAGAAATGACTTCTTTTTTTTTATATTTGTAATGTAAACTTTTACAAATAGGCAAGAAGAAAAAATGTTTTAAAAAAAAGAATGCTAATGGTTTTGGTAATTGAACATTGGTTTCTATTAAGCAAAATATAATTTTTATATACATCCTGATAAAGAAAATATTTATTATAGATTGCTAAATATATATTACAAAAATATCCTTTACATCCAAATAAGAAAGTTGGCTGATTTTGCCTTTTGACAAAAGAGTGGACAAGTACTGGAAGTAAATTACATAACCAGCAGGGTTACCTCAGGGTAAGGGCAAAGGTTATTTACTCTTGTCTGCTGGTCATTGTCAAAAATAGAAAACAGACAGGCTTACTTTTGATTTGATCTTTTAAGCCTAGGTTATGTATGTAGATAGGTACACATACATATATTTTGAAAAATAGACAGAAGTATCTATCTATCTATCTATCTATCTATCTATCTATCTATCTATCTATCTCTCTCTCTCTCTCTCTCTCTCTCTCTATATATATATATATATATATATATATATATATATATATATAGATTTGGGCAGCAATCCCCTTTTTAGTGTTTCATTAAAAATGACAGACAAGGTTCTTCTGTTAAGTATTTTTATTATATTTTCTTGTATGCAAATAAGAGATTTCTTTTTTGGACTTAGTGTGTATAGAAAATGTCCTCATGATTGTTTGTTCTAAGGGCTTTCAGCTAATTTATTAACCATTTTTAAGGATTTTCATTGTGTTATTGTAAAAGTTGTATAAGTTGCTAAATGGTAGATGCATTTTTAATTCCTGAATACATCCAGTACATTGTAGGCATGTTTGTAGTTGCTATTTTTAAGTAGTTTTTGTTTTTATCATAAGAGCTTCAAATATTTTAGAGATTTTTTGTTTGATTGATTGATTTGTCTGTTTAACAGCACATCAACTCCTTATGTGTCATTTAATGCTGAAATTAAATTTTCTTGGGAGCTTGGAAGTAATAAAGTATATGTTGTTCTGCTTTCACAACTGAATACATGGTAGATGATGCTCAGATTTTGTGCTTATACATGCTTGTGTGGACCTGATTACTAGAGGTGGTGATATGTGTTTTGTATTTATTGTTGGAGTTATATTTTGGAATACAGTTTTATTAAAGAAATTGTCAGATATTATATGGATTAATGTCATGAAAGTTCTTTTATGTTGGTTGTTTGGTAGTATTTTAAATGGATTTGGGTGAAGTCACTAAAAATTGTTTGTATGTGTATACTGTTGGTAATTATTTTTCATAAAAATGTATTGCTGGTAATTTTACCATAAAAATGTATTTTTATACTTTCATAGTGTTTGGGAGTGGTCACTATTTGCCCATAGCTAAGACCCTAACAGGTGATATCACTCCAGGTCATGGTGGATCTGGGAACAACAGCAATTAAGAGGTGGTTCCAAGTTACTCAAAACCTCTAATCTCCTGATCAAAGTCCTTGCTGCCAGATGTAGTTTATTGTCATACCCAGGACTAAAAACTTTTTATTGTTGGAGGTTCATATCAAATATGTATAATCAATAAGTATGTTGCATATCCAAGTTCATGCATTTTCATCCTGGTTTAAATGGGCCTTTATAGAACTGGTTTGTAAGGTGTAGGGTCAGCTACTTTATGTGAGTTGTGGCATATAAGATATTATTTATGAAGTTTTTTTTGCTGTGTATGCATCTGCACTTGAGG